ATTCTCTTTCCCTTTATCCTTTCGTAGATGGCGGCTGCTCCAACCGAGTAGATAGATCGGTATCCCGCTTTCAAGTCCTCTCGATATTGTTTCCGAGCTGCCCGTACCTCGGGGTCGTTCGGATCTCCCCATCTCGGGTCCGTGGAGGAGGTCTTCTTGGACGAGTTGTTAAAAGATTTTTTTCTTTTTCTCCGATGCTGGTTTTTGTCCCGGGAAAGTGAACGTAAGGTCCGGGACCGACATACTCTCTTCGGCAATCACGTGGTTCTGTGCTCGAACCAAGAATTCCTTGAACGTATTGGGCTTGTTTTGGCAAAGTGCCCACCTGAACATCGACTTGGGCTTCAGTCCCGAGATGGCGCTCACCAAGAGGGTTTCAGGATGGCACGGTTCCATGTAATGCATACATTTGTTGAAGCGGGCAACATATTCCTTCAAGCTCTCGTCGTCCTTTTGGATAATGTTAGTGATCGATTCTTTCGGAATAAGGCAAACCTGTGCCCCGATAAAATGGGAGCGGAATGCCGACCTGAGTTGAACCCAGCGCCGGATGGATTGCGCAGGCAGCGAGTAGTACCATTTCTGCGCTCTTGGTCCCAACGTTAGGGAAAACATACGACACCTGAGGGTGTCGGTGGCCCCATGTAAGTCCATCCACGAGGTATAATGACCGAGATGAGCGTCGGGGTCCGACGTTTCGTCGTAAAGGCCGATTTGTGGGACTTTGATTTTCCCGGGTAGCGGCTCTAAAGTCAACTCGGGAGACAGTGGGGAATCCGTTTCCACATATACATGGCCCGTTTCTTGTGTGTGCGGGTTGAGTGGCGGTCTTGTTCCTCGGTTTTGCAAAGTTTCGAGTTCGGTGACCCTCCTCCTCAAGGCTTCCATTTCGGGGTTGTCGTATCTAGTCGTTCGACCCCTCTCTATTTGGTGTCGGAGGTCGACCGGATTTCCCGCTGGCCTGAACAGGGGTCTTGCGACGGCGGTTTCCCTCCGAACATGCCCCGATTCGCTTTCCGCCGTCATCTCCTACAGGTTTTGCTCTTGGGGGTT